ACGCTGCAGAATCAATCCGCCAAATGAGCAGCGATACTTCTGCGTCGTCTATTCATTAAGAGAACAAGATAATAAGGACCTCGGATAGAAAAGAATTACTCAGTTTAAAATTATATAATATGTAAATTCACGACCGCAGTGATTATCTACTCGCTACGTTGCGCGTTAAGACTTGAACGATTTTATATCAAGTAATGAATCTTTAGCATAGAGAAGCAATTGGAATATATGAATTGTCGTACTGACGTACCGCTTATACAGGGTGTCCCTTCGAAGCTCTCGTAGAAGCATAGTACGGATTAAGGTGAACATAAAAGTCCTATACTATTTTGCGATATTTGCTATAATTATCGAGATATTAATTAAAGAAAATTTGTGAGTTATCACGTGAGATATGATAGATGAGCTGTAATATCTGCCGTGTCGTATGCTTATATATTAGGTCAAACTGAACAAAAAAGTCCTTTATCTAATAACTTTGTAGATTTTTAATTATTAATTATAGAAGATCAGTGGATGGACGCTCGCGATAATATATTGTTATCTAATTAATAACTAAAAATCTACAAAGTTATTAGGAAAAAGGTAGAAAACTTTTTTATTCAGTTTGTTTTTATTCTTTTTTGTTTATACGGTCGCAGATGTCACCATTACAACTCATTTACCGTATCTCGTGTGATTATTTACAAATTTTTTTAATTAATATCTCGATAAAATAATTGCGAATATCGCAAAATGGCATAGGACTTTTGTGTTTACTTTAATCCGTACTATATCTGACTGAGAGCTTCGAAGATTGTTCTGGGGCACCCTGTATACACTTGTCGACTGTTATCCTTTGCAATTTCGGTCGAATAAACGTTTGGAACTAACTATTGGAACATGTGAATTTTAAAAGCAGGGAGACACAGTTGGGTCGGTTTTTCAAGTAAACATTTTTTTGTGTAACGCTTCTTTGTACGGGAGGCAACCCAGTATCAACATTATGCCACATGAACCGTTATCAACCTCTACATTTCCGGAGACGTCCTATATCCGATCGCTGGACGGGGACGGGGGAAAAGGGTAGATATCAAAGACTGCTTTGTTGCATGACATCACACACGCGCGACACTTTGTTGCAACTATACACACGTGGTTGGTGACATCCTGTACAGTGTCGACTGCTTGCCTCTAATCTAACCTCCTGATGTCACTTTCGTGCTACATTTACGTCGTGGCGACAGAAGTTTTTCAGTTTTTATCAGAAACGTGATTATCGCTGGCATACTCGTTACTTTTTTAAACTCTCGATTCTCGTCGAATTTCAACAATTCTTACAAACTCAGCTTCCCGAATAAATCCCGTGAAGCGAGTTTTCTCCGATGATACGTCCGCTATCGACCTATTTCAATCGATGGGAATCTTTCTCTTTGTGGCACCAAGACTCCAAAAGATTATTTGGTGGTCGTTATGAAACCCAGGCGTGTCTACTTTGTAGGGATCGATGAACCCTTCACGCGGGAGATACGGAGTTGGCGGGGTCATTTGCTACATTGTAGCACTCTCGTTGGGACGCCTGAGACCCTAACCGTTTCTACATTTCCTCATTAAGTTCCTAGGGCCGAGTAAGTGTGCTCCAGAGATTAGTTCACGGCTATTTATAAGGCGGCTCTCTTGTGAAATAACGAAGATCCAAAATCTCGCAACACCCCGATGCGGTTGACAGATATAGCATAGATGAAAAGAGTTTTTAATTTTGGAAGTGTTATTCTTAATTTTTTATTCTAGCGAAAAATCATTATTCTTAACGCTACACGAAGTTGCACCATAATATCACTCGGACAGTGAACGCTGAACCCGACGAGACCGAATTTTCGTAAAGAAATCAGACACAGAAAAAAATAATTTGCTGCAGTAGCAAACTAATTTGCTACATATGGACAATTAAATATAATTCACTGTGTTAGCTACTTTTTCTTTGCTGCAGCAACCTATTTTCTTACTATGATAACAAGAAAGTCTGCTCCGACAACAAGAAAAGTGGCTAATGTAGCAAATTTGCTATAGATCGACAACTAAACATAATTTAATGCTTTAGCTACTTTTTTTGTTGCATTTTGTTATTATCATAGCAAGGAAGTTGGCTCCTGCAGCAAAGAAAAAGTGGCTAATACAGCAAATTATGTTTAGTTGTCCATATGTAGCAGATCTTTTTTCCGTGGATATAATACAAAATATTTGTCGTGAAAATATTTCGGCGAATATATAAAATTTCGAATTACAAAGAACTCCGCAGGACGGTATGTCACACGATTGATGATCAACTTCCTGTCCCGCACGTCTACAATTTTGATTGTCCCCTCGTTTGGAATTTAAAACATCAGTGGGTTACATTAATATTAAAGTAATGCCACTATGCGTAGGAATCTCGAAAGCAACGCCGACGTTGGTGGTAATTCTCGGAAAAGCCTTCGTAGGGCTTGCCTCGAGTTGCTCGGGCTAGTTTCTACATTGTATGCTTAGGATCCCCAATCTAGTCTCAGCGACCGCAGCGACCCAGTCTACCACCACCACACTTTCGGGTATGATGAGAGGAAACAAGTGGGGAATATAGTCTGTGTTTCGTCCGTTACGTTTTGTGTGAAACTATGTTCGTTCAAAAATTTATCGGACATTTTCCGAATCCTACTAAATTAAAATCGCTATTAACGATCGCACTAGTAATTACCATCCTCTTTTCCTCTCTCTTTACCGTGAGATCGCATTAAACATGCGCACAAAGTGCACAATGTTTGTCTCCTCGATGACATCATCGATGCGGATGCGCGCGAAATTAATGTTAAGACTCGTAGCAATTGTACCGTAAACCGCATCTCACTCGATGGATATACAGGGGGACCATCGCGTTCCCTTTGTAACATCGAGTTTTCTCGGAGCATTCATACGCGCTCCTCGAATCAACTTCTACATTGTTGCGCTCTCAGTGGCCGTTTGAGCTCTACCGCCAACACTCGCTTGTCTGTATAACTATTTCGCTATCGAAACGATAGATTTGTTTCACCCTATTTTGCCTATGCTATGAACTTTATATTATACTCTTTATTCTTATTTTATTATATATTATATTTTATATTATATTCTTTACATTTACTACATATTATTTATAATTAAGTATATTTTTTTATTATCTATTTGCTGTTTACTATCTTTTGTAACCTGTCTACCTTTTCTTCATAAGAATTATTAGTCGTTGAGAAGAAGTACTTTTGACATTGGTGAACCGACAAGGAGCAAGAACGCACACTCGCATTTCTTTCCTAGTTTGCTTACTCCAGTGCAAAACTCCAGTATGAAGGACACGCGATAGTCTTGCTTATCAAAGTTCTGAGAAAGGCAGTTGAGATGTATCGACTACCGTCGGACTAACTTTACACAAGAGCATATTTTGTATGTTCTTTCTTTATGCGTGCCGTCACGCGTATTTACGCTTTAGCTGCACACCAACAATAATTATAATTTACGGTATCTAATTACGAATATTTTTCGTTCAACTGTGCGCCGTTCAAGTATGTTTCACTCCGTATTAAAAATCTACAAGAGAATTTTCATTATAAGAAAAATTGTTATATTTTTCAGGAATAAGCAATCGCGAATTAATTTTGAGAAATATCTTTCTTGATTTGTCATCAATCAGTATTTTCTGATGAAGTTTTTCCAAACTTATATTCCGATGTTGATGTCTCATTTAAAAATCACATTTCCGGAGAATATCTCTACGGGTGTAACTCAAGCCTGGTAATCCGTGTGTTAGAACATGGCTCGTCGCACCTTTCACCCTGTATTAACGCGACAAGTAAAGCCTCTAGCGAGCACGTGTATGCATCAATTCGTCCAGTCCTATTACCACGACTTACAAAAATTGATAAGAACTGTCGTTTTTCTCGTGGTCTCGTTACTTAACATCGACAAAATTTACATCGAACAAATCACGACATGTCTATAATCTAGAACGGTCCACACTGCTTAGATAATTAAACATTTATATTTAGAGTTGGAAGTCCTGAATCCTTCTCAAACTGTCAAAAAATAAGAATTTTAACGTTTCCTGACACATTTACGAACTGGTGCACACAGTAGTTCGTAATTTGAATGCTAATGTCGCGCCATCTATCTTGGTTGGTTTCTACCTTATCGATCGTGGATCAACCTACCTCCTTGCGCAGTAGATAATATTGCCGAAATCTTATACTTTTGCCAACTTCTATTTTACCTATGATTAAAATGAATTTTCAATTTGTAAATTAGTATCATGCTCATTTCATTATTTATCATTTTAAAGAACTACAAAACAATTTTTTGCACGTACAAACTATATAAGAATTCGGAGTATTTTTCATATATACGTTTGAAATGCTTATTAGAAAATTTGCAAATTACCATCGTTTACCATTTTAAAGAACCACAAAACAATTTTTCGCAAGACTATATAAGAATTCGGAGTACTTTCCACGTATACATTTGAAATGCTTATTAGAAAATTATTGATATAAAATAAACTGACAAATAAAAACTTGTTAAAGGGTATGCTGAAATTTTACTGACAGAATATTTTTCTGCAAAGTTTATGTCGTATTGGTTAGTGAAAATCGTCTCTGCGTTACCAACATTTTTCGAATATTATCGATTTCAGCATCCTTTTAAGCTACAAAGATTATTTCTTTTTTGCATTGATACTTTGCCGCAATGTGTTTAATTATATAGTCTACGGAAAAAAGGTTTGGTTGAATTAACCAAATATCTGGTCGAATATGAACGATCCAGAAATTCCGATTGAAGTAACCCGAATTCTGTTTAAGTCAACCAAAAATCTTGTTAACTTAAACAGAATTCGGGTTACTTCAATCGGAATTTCTGGATCGACCAGATATTTGGTTAATTCAACCAAACCTTTTTTTCCGTGTAGAGTTCTCCTATATACTCGCGTGTTTTATTATTATATTCATCTTTCTATATTCCAGGCTAGTCGCACGCTCGCACATGGTGAATACCTGCTACCGTGTCCGAAATGCACGTTTCCTTCCCACGTGGACAACAAGAAGAACGTGGGAACCTGCACGAGACAAGGCTGCTCCATCGAATTTTGCACCTCCTGCTCGTCGAAACCGCACATAGGCCCGTGCATGACACCCCTGCTAGCCACCCCGACGAAGCGCAACAAACGTCTGATCGTCGGCTCAAGGCAGAGCAAGCGGAACTTGCGGAGGTTGTAAGAAATTCGCGGCTCCGCGTAGTCCACACATCGATCCGTCGTCGTGGGACAGAAGAACTAGTCTAGCTACAGTCGCATCTGCTCCGTCGAAGTGGAAGATGTAAATTATAGGCGCAGAGATATATATATGTATATATATCTCTCTCAGTTATATATATAGTAAACGTATCGAGAATCAAAAGTGCAGGCCGCGAGTTACAATTAAATGTAATTTAGTAATTAATTAAGCAACATTTGTGTTTAGCGTGATCGCTCGAATGGCTTCGATTGCACCTTGTACCGAAGTTATCGATGTACGACGCATATATCTTTCGTGTTTTTAAGTGCCTTAACCGATGGTGGTTCCGTATAAGGTCTGTTACTACTCACGGAGTGGCATAAACGAGTTAGTCGCATAGTTATTAGCTATAAATTCTGATCGGTGAGTGAATTTTTAAACGCCGTAAAATCAGCGAACGCCCTAATTTGCCCCAATCCATCGGCACCAGGGTTAATGTATTCAAGTATCGCTTAAATCTCCCGAGCGACGGCGACGGTGCAACCGAATGTCCAATTTCTCCTCCTTCTCGACGGTCTTTGTGGTAAACTCGAAACGAAAGACCAACGGAGAAAAACTCAGTACCTACAAAGAACACAGGAGGGAGGGAGCAGGCGAGAGGAGGAGGAAAAGAGGAAAGAGAAGGAACATAAGGGAGGAGAGAGAAATGAGAAACCATAAAGGCAGCGGTCGTAAAACCCGCTAAGGGATCGGCGAAACACTTTGCGCGCCGCCCGGATATTCTGCTTTTTACCGGGCGCTCGGTTCCTTAATGAAGCCGGGGAGAGACGGCGACGGCGTTGCGTTGCCGCTTGCTCTCGCGGGAATCGTCTCGTAAAATATTAACTGCTGAATAGAACGATCGTCGGGACGATCAGGGTGTGCGCGCGAACCACAGACAATCCTCATCCGCGGTTCGTGTTAGAATCTTTGCGGATCTTCAGTGACCTTAACAAAGTATTTAATTATATTCGTACTTGCGTGCATTCGTAGTTTCATTTGATTAGAATCGCTCCAGAAGTATTATCGAAGTACGTAGAGTTAGAGCCGACGAGGAAACGGAACAAGTATAGTGCCAGAGTAGAAAGTAAGAGAGAATAAGAGACAGCAACTGTCGTTTAATCAAGGGGCAAGGGAATCGTCGCGTCGTTGTCGGATATTAAATTCTAATAACTGACGTCACAGAAGCCGGTACAAAGAACTTGACGTTTGTGCCATGAGATTAGTTCGCGTCATAACGCGTTTGCCATACTATACTTTTTAAAGTATACTATACTTGATATAGTTACAGAGAAGAGCAGGAGGGGAGAAGGAGGTATTTTTTGGAGTCTCTCGTCTCCGTACAAAACCCTCGACGGGATGCCATACTTTGTTTACATTTTGCTTGTATATTACAATGTGTCTCTCTCTCTCTCTCTCTCTCTCTCTCTCTCTCTCTCTCTGAGCGTTTGTGCTCGAAAGAAACGCTCGTTTGTCCTGTTATTTGTAATGTTGCTTCTTTACCGTTGCATGCGAGAAAGCGAGAAAAAAGACTGCATGTAAATAATCGAGCGTGATAATATATATATTTTTTTGTTTATACGTTTTTCGCGTTATACATGTTGCAAAATTTCGTGTTTTATCTCACAATGCGTGACGTAACGTCGTCATGTCTGTCGAATTACTCCGTGGTCCTTACAACGAAATCAATTTCAAATCGATATATTGTCATGATTATTTTTTCAATATAGCAAATAAGTTATATTGTTCCTAGGATAAAGATTTTATCACTCGACGACCACGAAATAATCCGAGTGAAAGATATTTTCATAAATGCAATGTATTTTAAATTATTTACATCGATTGTTTTATCATGATCAAAATTGAAATTGTTGTTTCATATTTTAATTGGAAAGATCTGAGTATTCCCGTTGCATGTGATTTTCGCGTAATTTAATATACTTATACATATATTTATATCTCGCATTGAATTCATAAAAGTTTTCGATTCGTGTGCATTATTGAAAAGTGTGAAAAGTGCTGTTTATTTTAATGAAGAAATTAAATAACGATAGAATCATAGTGAATGAATGAAATTAAGGATTCAGTAACTGATTTTTTTTCTTTTTTGTCCCGACGATTCGACTCATATAAGTAATTTCACTCGGTATTTTAAACAAAATTTCTGTAGACTTTTACTTTTTAATACTCAGGAGATACTCGGACAGGAACCCAGTACATCTTATTAGCCTAAGCTATATTAAAAGAAAAAAAGGAAAGGAGGGAAAAAAGAAATCTTTAACAATGAGGAGGTGATACCAAATAAAATGCGTGTTGAATATGCAATAAGTTATAAAAATCTTGATATTTTTATAAGAACAAACGTATTTTAATACCTAGAATATAAGAAATTCTTAGTGTATCTGATCTAGGATAGGTTAAAAATGCGAAAATGCTCAATATTCTCAATTATGTATTATTTCACACAACTTGAAATTTCCAACTTGGAATTAGACCGATTTTTAAAGACACGAGTGTCTACGAAAAAGTACTGGTGTATCTGCGTTAAAATAATCAACATTGTAAGCCCGTTTAGGGTACGTTCCTGATTGTCAATTAAGTATAGTGTTTCTTTCGCATACTTACATTTTTATATTTCATTCAAAGTCAATAACAAGAATCGTGTTTGTGTTGAATAAATATTTTCGTGAGATCATACGCGTCTATGATTCATATATGAAAACCTATTTTACATAATTCCCATAATCGATATATAATATAGTATTAAATTATCTAGTCAGAAAATTTTGTAATAACACAAGCATTTCCATAGCATTCTGAGTATTACAGCGAGAAAAATCATTAAAAATGTCGCTGTCATATATATCGGTGGTTTTACTTCACTCGCTACTCCGGAAGCGATTCTTTGCGATGGAGGAGATGATAGAGAAGGAATCCTGTATCCTGGAGGGCATTCTTCAACACATTCCGCTTTCATCGAGAATTTGGTTGCTTCGGTAATTCTCACCAAGATCATCTTTCCCATATATTCCTCTCTTTTAGGCAACAATACTTGCCCGTAAAATTTGTTGTGGCCTACGTAATGTAGGTTGTCATGCGCCACTTCCGTCACCAGTACGTTGCACAGCTTCCCAACCTCTTCTCCATACGGTTCATAGGAGTAAAACAGTTCCGTCAGCCTTTTTGTCCGCGCCTTAACTTGTTGCGTGGGTACTCTCGTCATTCTGGCGGCGGGCGTGCCAGGCCGGGGGAAGAACTGATTGATGAAGAGACTCGGGAACTTGTACTCCCGGCATAGTGTCAGTGTCTCCTCGAAATCCTCCTCCGTTTCGCTAGGAAAGCCGCAGATAATGTCCGTGGCGATTGTCAGATCTGGCACTCGTTCCTTCAAGTAATTTACCACGTGTTCAAACTCGGCGCGTATATACTCGCGTTTCATGTCCGCCAACACCTGATCGCTGCCGGATTGCACCGGAATGTGCAGAAAGCTGTAGACTCTGGGATGCCTCAGAATCTTGGCCATCTCATCGAGATGTTCCAGAATGTATGGCGGATTGGTCATACCGACGCGCATCATGCAACTCTCAGGGATCACATCGATCAGTCGCCACAGCAGCTCCGGTAAATTGGTGCCGATGTCTCTACCGTAGGCACCGGTGTCCTCCGATGTGATCCACAACTCGCAAACTCCTTCTTCGAACGCTCGCGCCGCTCGCGCAACGATCTCATCCGGTGGATAACTTCCCAACTGTCCTCGCGCATGTCTCGTTTTGCAGTAGGTGCACTGATTCAGACATCCCGTGCTAATAGCTATGATCTCGATCCGCGAATTCTTTCGTATCTTCGGCAAATTTAGCGTAGAACCACCTATCTTCTTACCCTTGGAATCCTTCTTGGTCTGCAAAAACTTTACCGTGTGACCCTTCAATGTTTCCTCCACAACTTCCACCACTCGATCAATCTGTTGCACACCGATCATGCTCAATCCCTTGAGAAAAGAAGACTTTGGAGCACCTTGTGGCACGCAACTGCAAGAAACAAGTGAAACATATATCTTGAAGTTCTTAAGAATACTAGAAGTGAACTACTAGTAGAACATTAACACTCTGAGTGCCATACTAGATACAAGTGTGAAACTTATAGCACAGAGAAATGTAAACGGTAAGACACAAACAATAAGAAAATTGACCAAACATAATTGATTATTTTTGATCAGTAAAAGGAATTATTAACTGTAACTGGTCAATTTATTTATTGCTTAAATTTAATGGGCTTTCTACAATAAATCATTAGACATTATTTATATCATATTAGTGTAAGTTGGAATTAAAACGACAAACTAACAGCTTATGTCTCATTGAAATATAAGTGATGTGATCATACATACCCCGCGACCACGATGTGTTTGCCCCATTTCTTCCCTTTCTCAATCTCATTTCTAAACTGATCCTCTGCGGGACTCTTGACTGTGCATGAATTCAGGAGCCACAGATCTGCTTTGAGCTTGTCATCGGTCAGATTGTAACCCTGGCTGGCAAGTTGACCAGCCATATACTCGGCGTCTGAACTATTATGGGTGCAACCCCATGTCTTCACATAGATCGTTTGCGTACCAGGTATTATACTCGATAAGATTGACGGTTGCGGCACTTCCTGAGGTTCTTGCTTTCTTGATATCCTTCGTATCTTGATATCCTTCGAGTGTCTCTTCTCTTTGGGAATTAGTTCCAATGATGTAATAAAATCGCCAAAGTCTTCGATATCCATATCGCACAAAGAAGGCATATTTGCCATACGTAAAATTCGTTCAGATTTTATTTATTTCTTGAACACACCACGTGTCATAAAACACTCTGAGATTAAGTGTATATACGATAAGAGGTTATAGAAACAGATTTTATGAGCTACTTTGAGTTTTCGAGTAAATATAACGAGAATTGAATTACATTTTTACAAAATTTGCTGTTCTTTATTATTGCTTTCAATATTATCGACAATAATATTACATATTATTCCGAGAGTTATTGAGGTTAAGCAAGTGCAAAATAATGCGAAAGCTTCAATGGCACGTTCCACTTAACACTCGCAACGACGCGAGCGTCATTCTATCTTTATTTAACATTCAATTTGTCACTCATTAGTGACAAAGATAGAATGATGGACGTCATTGCACTCAATGAAGCCCTAACAGCAGAGAAAAGCATGAGAGCGGCCACCGGCTTGATTTCAATGGCCAGAGCTAGACGCATTTTCGAGACGCCATCTAACAAAGTGCACTTTTATTACATTCGTTAAGCGATTTTCGCGATGGTAACTAGAGATTTTTGAGCTGCGTTCCAAAACTCTACTCGACGGATAGAGTAGCATTTAATTGACCAATAAGAACAAAGATAACTAGGATTTCTTTATCATAATTGGTCAATTAAATATACTCTACCCACCGAGTAGAATTTGGAACGCGGCCTTGAGTAGAGACTAGACATAAGGGGACTCCGTGTGATTGGTGCACGCACAGATGTCTATACTAAACTAGATTGCTAACAGGCTATCTAAAAGCATGTAAAAGGTCGTTTTACATTAGTTGCAAGTCGATTGCAACTCTTGTTGCGATCGCCAATCAGAAGCGTCAATAGCATCATTGATGCTTCTGATTAGCTGTCGCAATAAGAATTGCGTCTGCTTGCGATCGGCTTGTAACTAATGTAGAACGACCTTAACGGTTTGTGTCCGATAGAGTTTCCGGTACATGCAAGAAGATAGACGCTACCGCCACATATTTTTACTACGTTTAGTCATAAAATTCTTTTGTTGAGAATGAGCAGAGCAAATAACGTCCAATGCCATCTATTTTTTTGTTACGACATTTTTTGATGCAGTAAAATGCTGGCATTTTTGGTTTTACGATAATAATTTAATGGTCACGCTGACTCACATTGTACGTAAGTATTCACACAAGTGACACGCACTGAAATATATACTACCTGCGCCTCTATTCTTGAAATAGTTGCGTATACATAAATTTTACGGCGTAGGTTTAATCATACCATAAAATAGCTGCGCAATGAAAATTACATATTCGCAAAAATTTCAAGAATATGGGTCCTAAAACGCGTGCTACCTCTTGAGTGTTGCGGAATGAGAGAGAGTATTCTTGTAGGTTCAAACGGGAGCATCCCGATTGACCACGGTACGATTGGACACAATCAACCGATGAAAAGAATTATCTAGTGAATTACTAGGTCGAACCAATCATTACAATCTGTGTCCAATCGTATCGTGGTCAATCGGGTCCCACCCGGTTCAAACAGCGCTCTGTCTTTGTTTAGTACAGTCTGCACCAAAAGCTAAGTCGGCTGATTTCTAAACATAAGCTGAATCTCCAAATTGAGTGATGGTTCCGAGGAATCATCTTTGCTTTGTTTTTCTTAATAATAATAATAATAAGTTTCTTAATAATAAGTCGAAGTGAATAGTAATAAATGAAAAAATAAAATATATATATTTTTTATATCTTAAACTTTCGTTCATAAGCTAAAGTCATTGCCATTCAGTGGTCACTGCTTTTCATATTACCTCTAACTTTTAATGGATTGTATCATATTCTCCTCACTCTTAACTATGAGACGGTTCAGCGGGCGCTGCAAATGTTTTGTAGCGTGTTTACTTCTTTCTCTTTCTTCATTTGAATCCGAAGAATAGAACAAGAGGGAGAAACGCTGCGGAGCATTTGTAGCGGTTGCTGGACCGCGCTCTATATTACAATTCTCTACACATCACATTACTAAAGCTCGTTACTAAAGTTCGAATTTTACCTGTAAAATTTGTCATAAAAATTAAATATAATTTTACTTTCAAAAATATATTTCGAAAGCAAAGACTAAACATATATATGAAATTATAATTACAAAAAAAGATAAGATCTTTATAACATTCAGTTGGCTTTTATTCACAATATACAGTTTATTATATAACAATACTGTATAAAATATATCAGCTACAAAACAATATCAGGGGCACAAGAGAGTTCCGATATATCTGGCTTAATACTATCAGAAAATAACTTATCGTTATTTCTAGTGTAAAATGTTTAGACTGAGAAAATTGAAGACATTTAAATCAATTTTACAAAAATACAGCTCAATAAAATATGTCAGACTACTAAAAATACTAGTATATCATTTTGTAGGAATGGACGAGCATTTAACAGATAGTCAATTGTTAACTACTCACAGGTGGTATCTTTTGAAACAATGGACATCGCTTACATAAAAATATCGCCACCAGTTCACAGAACATTATTATTTCCGAATAAAAATGTTCGCATTAATGTTTGATTTTATTTTCGATCAAAAAATATTCGAGAACCAGGGCATCTATAGAAGCATGAACATTGTATTTTACTAGAGAACAATTAAGATTTAACTACGCAAATCATGTAGAATAGTGATCCCTTGACTTGATATTTACTCTAAAATTTGCAGATTATTATACTTCCTCGATGTTACTATATGTTGCTACACAATAGTCGCGCACATTTTGCAAAATTGTCAGGTTAGTCATACAACAATCGATATTCGTCGAACTTTATATGTCGGATGACTCAACGACATTCATAACATCCATTAATTTACACGATCTCAATATATGGCTCGCTGAGAGATTTACAATGTACACTTTCGAGTTTAAAAGTATCTCGTATAAAGATCTATCCAGTAAGTACGTACGAAATAGATATGAGTAATCGCAGTGATTACTTACAAAAACTCGTGTAAACTTTCGTAAATAATAATCGCGATCGCTTTTGTCACCATTGTCTACTAGTCAAGAGCAATCCTGAGATAAACGGTTCATGTCGCGTGCATGTACGAGGTGATGTGTCTGGTACATACGCGATGGACAAAATGTGACCTTTTTACTAATCGTGGGGCGAATGTGAAAGAACTGTTGTACAGTTGGATCGAGGCTCCTGATCCCTCGCCGGAATTTTCGATTGTTTATGACAGAAGCGAAGAGACGTATGTCCAGGATTTTTGCGTGCCATTTTCAAATAAAGAAATATATTTGTATAAAAGAACACTCGAAATTTCTTGAGCATATTTGCACAATGTTCTGAAAACTATCTTTTTTCCTTGACAGTCAATAAATAGCCGTAAAATTAATTAGACATACAGCCTTCCTCCTTAACCCACCTTTCCTCATGATTTTGCCACTTGTTGACTTTTAAAAGGAGAGGCTAATTTTCAGAACATTTTACGAGTATGTGGTTCAAGTGAAATCTGAAGTGCTCTTTTATACAAATATCTTTTTATTTGGAAATGGCACGCAAAAGTCTTCAATGTGTCAATTCTCGCTTCTGATATCATTATCCAACGTGACCACGACGAGTACCTAGGAGTCTTAAGGCTCTCCTTAAGACCTGTGCTCTCGCCGCGGACATCTTAATTAATGACGTCAGAAGCGAGAAAACGTATGGCCAAAATTCTTGCAGAATACACCAAATAAAAGATTATATCCATAGAATGGCACTTGTGATCGATTGAGCACATTTGTAAAATATTCCGAGAACGTCCCTTTTGCTCTAGCAATAAATAGCTGTAAAATTAACGCAAGGAAAAGTAGGCTGAAAAGAAAGATTGCATCACGTTAATTTTACGTTTGTTGACTTTTGTTAGAAGGAAAGTCTTCAAAATATCTTTCGGAATGTAGTCAATCCGAAGGTCACTTTATGGACATGCCCTTTTACTTCGCAAGAATTCTGGAGATGCTTTCCTTCGCTTTTGACGTCATCGATCGATAGCTTCGCGACGAGTGGCCTCGGAACAACTCAAGTACAACTACGCAGGTACCTTGTCGCGTGTTTTACGAACGCATGATTAAAACAACCTTTTCTCATAGGAAAATAAGCTGTGAACATTGCCCTCTTGCTGAGCCGAATGTGTTCTTCTCTCGAATTTCAGTTCTCCACTGTACATCATGGATCGTAATGTGGAGAGCGACCTCGCGCCGATATCTTGGCAACTGTGTTTGATGCCACACGTGAGATAAGGCAGAAACTTCAGCACCGAGCCCTTGTCCACTATGGAGCCACTAACACCTTGGGCTACTTTCAATTTATCCATTTCGTTATGAAAATACCTATCCATCGCCGAACCCCTCGCGTCCTTCCTATTCATAGCTTCCAACGAGCCCATCCCTCTGTACTTTTTCAAGCGAACTCCATCGCTGAAGAAATACTCGCCCGGAGCCTCGGACGTGCCAGCCAATAGAGAGCCCATCATTACCGTGCTGGCGCCTAAACTAAGACCTTTGATAATGTGTCCGACCGATTGAATGCCACCATCCGCTATGACAGGAACCCCGAATTTCCTAGCGTATTCGGAAACCTTGTAAACAGCCGTCGCTTGTGGTCGCCCAACTGCCATGACTTCCTGCGTTATGCAGATCGAGCCAGAGCCCATTCCGACGCGTAATGCGTCCGCTCCTGCCTCGATGAGATTCTTAGCTTGCATCGTGGTCACGACGTTGCCCGCGATCACCTGCAGGTCCGGATATTGCGACTTGATGTACTTGATCATCTCGATCTGGTACATCGAATTGCCCTGCGACGAGTCCAACACTACCACGTCTACGCCCGCGCTCTCGAGCAGATGCAGTCGCTGCTTGTCCGCGCTACGTGTCCCTATAGCGGCTCCCACTAAAAGCTGCTTGTTCTCGTCTTTGCTGGCATTTGGATAATTACGATTCTTTTTCAAGTCGGTCCTCGCCATCAGAGACACTAGTTCTCCTCGCTCGTTCACAATAGGTAACTTTCCCTTCTTTGATTTCTCCAAGATGGCATTTGCTTCTTGCAAAGTTACACCAGCTGGTGCCATGATCAAGTTTTCCAAAGTTGTCATAATTGAGCTGAGACTTTTGTGTTGATAATTAGACAAGCATTCGAGAAAGTCGATATCCCTAGAGGTGACAATGCCTAACAATTTACCACCGACTTTTCCATTGTCTGTGACAGGCACTCCGCTAAAACCATGCTCAGCCTTCACATTCAGAACATCATTGACTGTATGATGTGGTGCGAGGACAACTGGATCTCTGATGAATCCATGCTTATACTTTTTTACCTATAAATGAAACAAGAGTATGAATATTTTATAAAGAAATTTAAGAATATTTCAATATCTTTTGTATATATTTTATATATACAGGATGTTGCATCAAAACATTGGTCAGTACGAGGAACTGCTTACTTGCATTGTTGGCAGGTGCAATGCTTGGACACAAACTCATTTGCAAAACAGATGGCACTCATTTTTACCATTAAGAGAAATATTGAAAAATGTTGCAATTTGTTATATATACTGATATATATATATATATATGAAAGTTAATGCAACACTGCACATATATACCCTGGTGAAAATTGAAATTAGAAAGTAAATAAAGTGTGAACGAAGAGTGACGGACGTGTAAGTGAAGCGCTTACAAAGCGTAAATTGAAGCGTACTCGCTTGCTTTACGTTCTGATGTTTCAATTTACGCTTTATAAACGCTTCACTTACACGTTCGTCACTCTTCGTTTACACTTTATTTACTTTCTAATTTCAATTTTTGCCAGAGTAAGAATTAATTGAAACTAGAATGTTATAATTTAGATAGATTTTCCTTGTTTTCAATTAGATAACAAAAAAGGTGAGAGAAATTTGTTACTCATACCTTGTGTACTTCATTAGCCTGATATTCAGCAGTACAATTATGATGTATAATGCCGATACCGCCAGAAAGAGCCATCGCGATAGCCATGTCAGATTCGGTAACGGTGTCCATAGGCGAAGATATAAGCGGAGCTTTTAGCGTAATTTTCTTGGTCAATGGTGACAGTAAGTCGACTTCTTCCGCTGTGAAATCTATATAGCCCGGCAAGATGATAAAATCGTTGTAAGTGAGACCATCGCCGGTGGCGAACAGACGTTCAGCCGACGTCCCGTCGTCCGGCAGCGGTACGTCTGCGGCTATTACGTTGCCTAACACGTAATCTGCCATAATTTTCACTCGTCCCGCGTTTTCCGCAATTGATCTGAAACACCTAATTCGTACCCGCGCTCGCAATTGCTGCCGCTGCCAACTCTGCTCCTGACCTCGAAAAAACGAATTCTACTACACAGCGAGAACACGTGCGCACGTGTGTGAGACGCGTCGAATTACATCCAACCTCGTGCGAGCCGCCAAGCAAAATGACCGAGTTCAAAGTACGTCTTCGTATACCAGATGGTAGCGATAGGCGGTCAGCGGAAAAATGAAAAAGAGGGGTTATGGGTTGGTTTTCGCTGATCCGCTAATGATCTTTCAAGAGAGACTGGACAACGCGCCCACAAAATGGCGGCCGCAAATACGTGAGCTCGTAAGAAGTGCGTGGTCTGCACTTTTTCGCTGCATTGCTGCACTAGTGTAATAAATAGAGTGAGACGAGTATATTTTTTCTCACTCTAACTTATGTTGGCGCTGCCATTTAGTGGGCACAAGTCACGTGCACCAATCACGCGGAGCCCCCCTATATACCAACTACATAGCCATGCACGAATTTTCTTAGTGAGTAACAGGTACCCATATAGAACCACAAATCTATACTAAGGCCAAGTTCCACAATATCCGTTTAATTTTAACTACCGATTAAGTCCCAATAGTGATTAGTTAATTCTGATTAACTCTTCTTAATGTCAAATGCGATTGGTCAAATCCAGTGGAATAACCAACCTTGGCTGGTTTTTATTTAACTACAGTTAAGTTAACTGGAGGTTGTGGAACTGGGCCTAATAGATTGCTAAAACCAAAGCTTCGGACTTGTGTTGCATGAAATTTCCGGTTACATGCGAAAAAATGGCGGCGGTCGTGTGTGTGAGAGCCAACGCACAAGCCATCCATACATGTTACGTTACGTTAAGTACTGACAATATAAAGGCCTTCACACACACTTTCCGTAACAGTAACCGTAAGACGTAACGTAAGAATTGACCAATCACGTTGAGAATCGTCGAAACATAAGGTCGCCATTTTTGTGAATACTCCATCGTAATCGATCAATTCTTAAGCCCATTCTACAATTGCGTAAGCGTAGTCGTGAATGTAAGAGTCAACCAATCCGAATGTTTTATTCACTGATTGCTTTACTCTGATTGGTTGTCGTAATCACTTACAACCACTTACATCCACGTTCACGCAATGTAGAATGGGAGTATATTTTGACTGTAGTACGCAGGCAATCAGATGATGTTATATATATATATATATATATATATATATATATATATATATTCCCGCACCGTGGTTCTGGGGTTGGACTTCTCTCTTATTTAGCAATATAGTAGTATTACATATATAAAATTTCACATAGTGAAAATGTGGCAGCAGCGGCCATTTTCTCGCATACACCAGAAACTCAATTGGACGCAAGCCATCCTATGCCAAATGATGACATGTTAGCAATCTAGTTTAGTATAGCATCTGTGGGTAGAACACAAAGTCATATAAAAGTTAAAATGACGTCAAATGATATAAAAGTGATATCATTTTGACGTCAAACGATACGATTTTCATGACAATTTCATAATATTGATGTCAAAATAATATTTTCACATAAAAATGATTTTGTGTTCTACCTGGGTAACGTCCACGATTACTTGGTTCTGTTCTGTACTGTGTGTATAACGACATAAGTCAAACAAAGATGAACGATTAAATTGATCATTCTCGTATTAATATTGTAAATTTATTCAAAAAGTGACACAATGTCGAAAGTTAACGACAATCATCCAAAGTTTAATCGCAAATATATAGTCGTGTATACAATTGTATGCGCTTGTAAGAAGTACCATTAGAAGGTATAAAGAACTCGGTGTAGAGAAGATACATAAATCACAAAAATTAGAATATATAAATAAAGGAATATGCAATCGGCTTGTGATGGTTGCACGAAACATTGAAGCGAAACAACGCGAAATATATAAAATGCGTCGCGTTAAACGTGAATTCACGCAACGTCGTTATATTTTCCACACGAACGCTGAAAATCATACAAAGCTGTAGAACGTTATTTTTGCGAGTGTAGTACGATCTAATAACGAATTTATCGAATTCATAAGCGAGTCAGAAATTACAACTCTCGATTGAAGCGTACTGAACGCAGGAAAATGGTATTCACAACGTCGACTATCTCATCGAAGGCTTCTTCGAACGACGAGGCGATATATTCAAGAGTCAATGCGACGTAATTCACGTCCTCGTAATCGTCGTGTTCCTCGTCGAGCATCAAGTAGTCGTACATCATAGGCAAGAATATGATCGCAACGTACACCATGACAACGAGAAACACTGAAAGCATTTCATATCACTATTTTTTGTAGTTTTAGAAAATGTCAATCTTACACTGTTTTGTTATTACGTGTGCGACTCAATTGTAATTTCCCGTACAGTATAAATGACTAGAAGACATCTTAAGCGGAGTCTACAATGAGAATTTCTCCTTCTTCTTCTCTATATTTTACTTGGCTTGCAGACTTTCTCAAATAGTCTTTTCTGCCAAGGTAACTTGTACCAAAGTACAAGTCCCAAAAAATATGTCCGAACTTGTTCGGACACGTCTAGACGTAACGGTGGTTAAGCCGGAACTTCACAATGAGAATTTAAGCCATAAAATTTAGGCTTTAAGCCTGAACTGTAACCCCTTGTCCACAACCTTGCTTTAATCTTTAAGCCGTAATAAATTGACCAACCACAGTCGATTATTTAAAAAATAATGAACTATAGTTGGTCAATTTCTTACAGCTCAAGAATTAAAGCAAGGTTGTGGACAAGGGGATAGTTAAATATAAGGAAAATAACTGACAGTGATTGGTCAATTTCTTACAGCTTCAGGCTTAAAACTTCAGTTTTATGGCTTAAGTTCTCATTATAGACCCCGCTTTAGAGACGTCTGAACAATATCTCTCTTGCTTATTTTAGAAGTCTTTATAGAATATCTCTAAAACGCATCTTAGACATTTGTGCTATTTGGGTCACCTATAGCTTTGAGACCGAACAATCGTTTGCTCGCATGATTAGTCCTCTTTCGTTTAATCCTCTTCACACGCGTCGATGATAAGCCGAAAGCTTCGCAGACGTTCTCGCGCGTTTTCGATCCATTTGCGGTCGGATCCGACAACGATCTCTCGACAGCAGTCGCTGGATTTTGAAATACTTTCTCAGATGTATCTCTAGCAGAGAGGTAATAAATTCTATTAATCTAATTAATTAAGCCAAGAAATTGTTGATGATAGCTTCGTGGACGTATCATTTTGTGTATCGTATACTTACAGCGTGTTGTTAATCATGCAAGAGAGCACAGAACATTGTTGCAACGTTCGGGATACAGGCAGATTCACGCGACTTCGAGACTCACTGGAACGTTTATCCTCTTCTCGCACGGTATCCGGCACAGTCAACGCGATTTTCCTGAGTTTCCTATAATACTCCCAGTAACTTTTGTTCAAGAGCTCTTGAGTTTCCAAAGGGATGAACAATGGCTGCTCGAACGGATTGTCCGCGCGTAGATTCGTCAACAAACGACTTCGGTTCACTCGACTTCGCTTCGACGTATAGGATTTCTTTCGTATCGGATTCATACAGTTCATCCAATTTCTTCGACGCGACAACTGACTTATCTTTAAACGATCGCGAGTTCTTTCGTACCGGTATTGTTTGCTTTTAATGCGACGAGGGCCGGGCAACATCAGAGTGCAGTCGGAGTCCGTAGTCGCCAAACGAGATCTTCTCCGAAAGAACGACTTGGCTTTTCGCGACAGATTTATCGGATTTGCCGTTTTACGTCGCGAGTTGTAACACACCTCCCTGTGCCGTGATTTCGCCTTGCTTTCGCAACTCTTCTGACGTTCCTCGCCTGTAACTTGCATATCTTCTTGCAACGCTTTGTCACTTAATACGTTCGCCTTTACGCACGAACAACGCGAACGACTCTCCGGTGTTCCGACTTTCTCACTCGATACTTTTCGCTCGAATGTGGATAATGCGGAATGCGAACAATGCTGCAACGTATGATTACTTCTTGAATCGTCTTTGTGTCCTTGCGCGTTTCCGAACTTTCCAGTGACATTTAAATTTGAGGCATTTTCGTAACTTCTCGCGTCGCTCACGTTACCTCTTGTATTCAAGTTCCCATAACGATTTTGATCGAGCGAAATCTTATGAATGTTTAAATTATTATTATTATTGATGTTCTCTTTATTCCGCGTCCAGTTAGGGACGCATCCATCGTCACAATGTGAAGTGTTCTTGTTCTCAAGCATATTCTTTGTGTTGTGCTGTTGAGTAACTAAAAAGCAATTAAATTTGTAATCTCCATCTGGTCAACGAACAACGCAAACTGTCAAACAATACATTACTGAAGTAGACCTTTTCCAATCTCAGATTCCTTGAATGTCTTTGAATTAGTCGATATAGACATTGTACAGATATTGCTGGCAACTTCTTCGCGCTTCATACCATCGCTCTGGCGTTCTTGTGATATATCCTCTCGCGTTTGATTTACATTGCAAAATTCATCTGGTTTTCCAGTCTGCTTATGTCGCGATACCTGCCTATGTTGTGTTACAAACTGCATTATCGTCGTGTGAAATCAAATATCACGAAATAAGCAGTTTAGTGTGTAACTAATTGAGATTTAATACCTTTTAAAACGCGGATCGACACAACTAGGCGATCTTTCAGGCACATGCGTGGAAGTTTCATACTTATTACTTATTCTTGACTTGGGATATCTGAAATAAGAAAGCAAAAGATACAGGAAAAGTTCCCAAGCTTAATCAGGCTTAAATATATTTAAGAGATATAAAAAAGAAAACTTACTGACACGTGGTGGTTTGTACCGTGTTGCGATTTCTTCTAGGAGTTCCTGTTACAGTGACCACACAAGGAGGTCTAATAACGTCATCGTTGTTGCCAGTTAAACGACGTAGAGGTATTTTAGGCCAAGATGGATCAGAAGGAAGTCTAATATCGTAGGGGATCGTGGTGACATTGAAAAAATCGATCTTACTTATTGATGACGCAAACAACGATTCTGTGAATGCCTACCGTAACGTGCCGGTGTTACATTTTTCCGGGATTGCTGATAGATTTTGTCTGTTAACTGGAAAAAAGGGAATCACGTTAAAGTTATGTTTTACTTGATAACAATTTTTGAATGAGTTTTTTCGAGCATTTACCTCTTATATGCAATTCGAGTGCATCCGCATCGTCGTCGCGTACCATACCGAGAAATACAATTGTGAATATCAAGATTCTCGGAAGGGTATAACGTAATGCACGAAAACTGTGTTATTTCATTAAATCAGAACTTGATACATTAGCCTAAATAATGTATGCGGCGCGATATGCATATACATGTCTATATCACATGTTTCCTCGATATCGAGATTTATTAATGCGAACGCCGTACGAATGAGAAATTGTTTCATTTGTCGCGACTCTCTCAACTGTCTCAAAATTTTCCTCCTTCCTCTCCGCTGCGACAGAGATGCAGATATAAATAATTATTAACGATTACACTTTATTATCGCATAATCTTTATATATGTATACAACTGTAAATTTAACATTAGAATATAATATATATATATATTTATTTATTTATTATATTTACATCGAATATATACAATAAACATGATTATAGCCCAGTCTTGAGTTTCTCGGGACGATTGCGTCATTTTTTTGAAATTTCGACGAGATCGCGTTCGATACCGAGGTATCTCAATGCGAGTACCTCTGAAATGGATATAATAATTCAAGGCCAAAAGTAGCTTCCTACGTACATAACATAGACGAATTAAACTTACAGGTGAATCTCAAGTCTGGCTTGCAACATTATACAGGAACAATCAATCATTATCTATCGATAATCTTTTAACGGATTATATCATGCTATTCTAAAGTATATTTGCGCGCCTCATACTTATCGTTATATCACATCACATCGTTAATTTATTATTACGAATGTCCCGATCTCTTCCCAGAGATTTTCCTTCTCTTGGAAAGACTCTTGCTTCCATTCCGTTCGCTTCTACAGATCACCAGTGCTATATAGTAGATCTGTATATATACACGATTTTTAGGATATCTTTCTTTACAGAGAAACATTTGTGATAAAAATATGATATATCATTCAATTCAGTTGAGATCAGTCAAGTTGCATTAATTTATCAAAGATCGGACTCTTTCGAAGTCGCGTGGATAAGGCGTGTGAATATGAATAAATTTCGCGATTACAACGCAAGAATAGCGCGCGTGTCTTGTTTCTTGTTACCATTTATTACACGTCCGTTCTTTGAAATAATTAATGCTCTTTCTCATTCCCGCGAGTTTTGAAATTGATAAACATAATTTATATCTCACTTTATATATCACCGTGTTATATGCTCTCTATTTCTCTCTTTCTTTTAATACCTTGTTGATATTTGAACACAACATAGCGAAACTTGTGCGCATTATTTACTGAGGCAGAGAAACGAATATAAATTATCCAATATATAATAAAAGCTATAACAATTACCAGTAAATCATAAAATTATACTCTACTAGTGAGATAAGCTGATGGATGTGTCTTGACTAGACGTTTAAAATATAACGTAGCTCGAATCATTGTTTTTTTTCACCAAATACAAAACTTCCATCTCATATCACTGATTCCTTATTCTACGCGTATTACACGATGATCTCTTTGCTATCGTCAAATCCTTAATTGGTCCAAAGCGTTAACGTCTCTTTCCCACTAATTCTTATTAATTCCTATTAATACAACTATGTTCCATTTTTTACAATACTTTGCCAAAAATTAGCGAGAAATACTGAAAATAATAAGTACAGAATGCATCAAAGATTCTTTCCATACAAAAGCTTCTTAAAGCGTTTAGCGAAGTGCCATTTGTCTCTGACAAATTATACATTCATTGATTATCAACATGCGTACACACGTGTTACAATAATGTGTAAAGCTTTCACAGCATAAAAAGTATTACAGTTTACGAAAAGTATAGTCTTATAAAGGACAGAATTTCTTTGATTTTAACCAACTCTTATTACATACTATGTACAGATTTCAGTAAAGACACTGGGTTTTGCTTTTAAACTCAATTATAGAATTCACGCTTTTATAAGATACAACAGAGAATTCTAAATTATGCATATTCTCTAAGAAAAAAAAAAGAAACTGTGGTTTAACAAACATCTTGGTAGCACAGTTATGCAATCAATTTTTTGATTACAGAATAAACTGGTAAGAAATTGCAGAGGTAGTTTTAGATATGCATGACAAACTAAAATGGTGTTTGTCATAAATAGCAACGATTATTGTCGACAGTAATATCATAACGTGATGTTTATCGCGAAATAAAGCGATACTCGCGTCCGAAGAAAGTGAAATCTGGATTATCGCGTTATATCTGATACTGAGAGATTTAAGTAGAAACAGGCGTTCACGGACGATAGAGACACAAACATACAAGAAACGCATGCTTATCAATTGTTTTTTCTTATTACGGTAATATATATATACACACGCGCGCGCGCGCGTGTGTGTGTGTGTGTGTGTCGTATTATATATAGTATATATAATACGAGATATTTTTTATCATTTTCTTGACTCTTTTTATTGTCTCACTAAGCTTCATGATCACCACTGTCAATCCCTATCAAAGATTCCGTTTGTTCTGCTTCAAGATCTGGAATCCTGAAAATTTCATATAGCACATATAGCACATATACAAAATATCTAATCAAATATTCCATAATTGCATTAGTATTATTATTGTACCATAGCCTGATTTACCTTGTTGATCTATTATTTTTTCTGCAAATCCAAATGTAAAATCGTTTTATTAAATCCATAACAGGGTCCCAATTATCATAATAAGATAGGAGAGATACTGTCAGGAATGCTAAAAGCATTGGAATGCTCCCTAGGTAGAAAATGCAAGGGTATTCAACTTTTTTCAGGAGGACATCGGCCACCATCGACATGGGCATTGTTAAGCTTACAGCTAATGTTGCTACAAGAGACGATGTTAAAAAACAACCCCTGTAAATATAAAAGGATACGATAAATTTATTATTACTTTATTATACTGAATGTGAACACACATTGCTGAAATTACCATAGCCAAAGTACTTCGCCCAGGACTGTACCAATCAGGCCGTTTATAATCAAAAATGTCCACTGATGACTATTGGGCCATTCGAATTCTTCCCAATGACCATAATGAAGAATAAAAAATAAAGGCCATAAAAGAGTCAAATTAAATATACCAACAAAACCAAAGAACATTGGTATATCCATCTTGTCCTCGTGATCTACTTTTCTCTTTAAAAATACAATATATGTGGCATAGAAAAAAGCACTGACTAGAGCTAATATTATGCCCGTTGACATGCTATTGCTTTTTACATTTAAATCTGAGAAACCGACTAATACCTATAAACATACAGAAAGTAGTTTATGAAGATTATATTAACTTGAGTTTCCTCTTTTGTTTAGTTACATTGATAAGAGGGCATGGAAACAATTTGCTTGTAAGATGAACTCTTCAATTGACACATAAATTTTCAACTTACCAGTCCAAAGATGCTAATAACTACAGCAGCTAACTTGGACAGAGTAAACTTATCCCCTCCGTTACTAGGGAAAAAGGCAGCAAGAAATAAAGTGAACAAACTAGATGTTGAAGATAATATAGTGACGATTCTGGCTTCAGTTTGTTCTAATGATATTTGGTATGTGTAATTTGCCATGAACCACTGGGAAAAGAACAATATATAAATTGACACGATCAACTAAAGACAGAATAATATTATTAAAAAAGAGGTAAATTTCATATCATGTTACATACAAATAGACAAAACATAAGGGCTATTTTGGCCACTTTTTGTACAGAGAACTTGTTAGCTTGCCGCCTCGCGTGTTCCCCAGCTCTAACGCTAGCCTGGTAACTAAGTCGCGCCAACAGAGCCTCTGTAGCATCACTTTCTGACATATGGCGCACTTCCGCTAGTTTACTAAATCTTACGGATCTTATAGACGAGTCGTCACTTTCCGTACCCGATGAACGATCGCAGTGATCCGGAGTTTTTATCGGAACAAATGTTGGGTCACTCTAGAACAGAATAAACGGCTAATGTTAATTTTTTACAACAGCTGTAAATCTTTGAATAATATATATTATCTGTAGTAGTTTTTCAATGCACTAAAAACGTACAAGTTATAACATTTCTCACTTACTAGACTGGTATTAGCCTCCGAATAGAAATTGTCATCCTCAATATTGGGATCTATGAACTAAAAGAAAATAAGATACATACAAATGTAAAAGTATACAAGTGTTGAAAAAGTAGTAAGACAGAGAAAAAAAGAGAGAGCATGCACATAGTATCTAATGTTATTTATATATTTCAATAAGTACCATGTATGTGGCTGGTTTATTGCATTGTTCCCGCCAAGGTGGCCAAAAGCACAGGCCAAGCAAATAAAGCGTAAACATAGATGTTCTTACGTATGTACTAAAAAATGGTTTTTCAAATGCAGCTTCTCTGTAAATATACTGGAACAGAAAGAATACATTACATATATGTATTACATACAGTTACATAAAAATTTCCAAGTACTGCATGTGCCAAAAGAAAGTAATATAAAAAGTAATGCAAGGAAAACTAGTGTAAATATACACAGATGCAACAGCTATAGAAGGAAATGATCTTACTTTAGTAAGTTCAGAACTGGAGACCCAAATTATATCGACCAATAATAGCACTAAAAGTCCCAATATAAGTCTTTGAGATTTATTCATCATCGCTGCAAGCCTGTGAGGATCCTCCACAATCCCCTGTTGCCTACGCTGGCGTAGTTCTACGGAGCAACTCATCCTTGTTTTGTTTTATTTATGGCATTGCATTTGTATGTTGATTCCTGCAAAATCATGTGACATTTTGATCATCAGAACTAGATGAATTTGCAAGATGACATTTTGTATACGAGTAAATTAAAATTATTTACGATAAATTCTTCTCTCTTCCACTGAAGATGAAATCACCATTATTTATCAATTACCAGACGGTGCAACGATTCTACGGTGCAACTCTTCTAATCGTATTTCACAACGTGCGCAGTATAAAGTGCGTGTTTGCTCAATTATTGGCTTGACGACACGTTAAATGATGAAAAATCCGAAAAACAGAAACTGGCATCTCACACGTTGCACACACTATCCCTACATCAGCCGAAAGACGAAAAACACAAGGGTGAGGCAAAGATTCAGGCGTTAACAGGTGTCGAGTCAAGGCGGTAAGCGATATTCATGATTTCCTCAACGTCACACTGGCAAGATAACCTAACTCAGCCGGCCATTGACGGCCGTGGCCCCGGCTCCGGTTGACGTCGGCCTCGCATTATGGAGTCTCTCGTTAATGCACGAGCCTCGTATTGGTTCCTCGAGTTTGTAAACTTCCAAAAAGCGAGCGTCGTTAATGTCGTGATCGCGTGCCAGATCCGCACGGTTTCAGCACAGGCAGCCGCGTAGCGTCATGTAGCGTCCGCCTACATCTTGGAGCGCTGATGATATCAGGTACATACGCTTGCGTTATCGCATTTGATAGCACCGTCGCAATATCGCGATATCGTCGTCGACGCGCATGTCGTCTCTCTTTCTCTATCTCTCTCTCCCTCTCTCTCTCTCTCTCTATCTCCCTTTCCGACTATCTCTGTTGTATCATGAATTTTCAACACATTCAACGTATGAATACCATTACCATATAATAAACTACCGCCAGCACCCCAGCTTCGTTTGACGCTCGTCCGGCTGCAGCGGGCCAAATAATGTTTAAGCGAACGTCAAACAGCAAAGCACTTGCCGCGCTTGACACTTCACGCTACACTAGCGACATTTTATCGCTTGATTTCGCTCTCGCGATTGACGTGCGAACGGAGCTTACTTTCAACCAGCCCGATACCGGTTACCATGGCAATCAAACAAGGCAACAATTCTCTATCTTTCCTTTCCTCTCCGCGCAATGCTTAAAGTTGTTGAAGGGTTGAACAGCGATGATACGCTGTAAACGGTGTCAACACGAGAGCGCGTAAAACAAAGGGAGAGCTACTGACGGTCAAATTACTGCGAGAATAATGGCGAACGACGTCATTCGCAACGGTCGATTGCAAGAATCCACCACGATTGTACAACGGACGAGGAATGACAGAGGCAAGAAAGGTATCGGAAACCCTCACACGAGAATATCGCGTTTACACTGTAGTGTTCAGCTACACACACACACGCGCGCGCGTAATCAAGCCTATCGCGAAACAGGAACTATGTTGATAGTCGAATAACCGATGAGAGCGATCGATCGATCGATTTGCGATAATCGCATGCACTTCGCGTCGCGTCGAAACTCCGTCGGAGATTTCCCTCTCACCGTTTGTCGTTCGCAGCTCCAGATATAGCGGCTGTTGAGAGTCGCAATTGGTTGTTACATCGACATTATACGAGACACGAGTACAATGCTTGCAAGTTACTTATTGAACAAGAATTATCCAAATCAGACGGTCACGAGTACGCTAATTATTTGAAGGTGAGTCCGTTCAATCAATATGGTTAGGAGACAAATGGACGAACGTACAAACACTTGTCGTTATTACATCCCAAATACCAAGTGACATCCCTGATAAAAATAACGCACAGAAACGGACAGGATTTCTACCCATTTCTAACTGTAAGTTGTCCGTTCTATTTGTAAATACAACATGCGGATAGAAAATCGCAACAGTAGATTCTTATCCATTTCTATCCGTTTCTGTCCGTTTCTGTCCGCAACGTTTACTAGGAATTACATCTATGTTATATAACTTTTCACTCAATAATAAGTGCAATATAACACTGTTGTATATAACAGTTGAATTGTTAAATAAAAAATTATAACATTAATACAATGTTAATGTTACTTGACGTTTACTCTGATACATAATTATTCGCGCGAAATTTCCCAGAAATATTTTAACAAACCTGCATTCGAAACAGCTGCTAATAAATCTAGAAAGTCCTTTACCATTGATAATTTAAATCAAGAACGCGCAGATAACATAAATTTCTTAAAGACGTTTAAAAGACTGAACGTTTAAAAGTCTGAACAAGTAAGATTTTATTAAGTCTTTAAGATGTCTCTAAGACGTCTTTTAGAAGTTTGTGCTATCTGGGTAATTACCACGTTTTTCTTTCTTAATGCACGGCCGACATTTTTCGTTCCTTTATTCTCTTAGGGTTTAATTCTGAGAAAAGAGGGTAAAATTCAAGATTCGCTGGATTGCTTTCAAACAGCTTACAACGTGAATTCAACAAACATCGATAATGTTAAGCAGATAGCGAAATCGTTGTAAGTAATATCAATATGGCCTAGGGATAACTTCCTACAAATTACGATTAATCTTAACCAGTAGTCAACTGACAAAGTTACAATTAAAATTGTTATTGAAGAAAAAATTGAGAGAGAGAGAGAGAAAGAGAGACGCGGAGTTAGAAATTTAGATAGTCGCTCTGGCAGTTAACTATTGGTTAAGATTAACCAAAGTTCGGAGAAAATCAACCTAAGCCGTCGTTCACGGGTTGAAACACGTCGAGCAAACGCTTCATTATTTTACGCTGTCTCAGATTAATAATGGGGAGTCATCAACGCGCGATAGACGCGTATAATGAAGCGGAGAAGATATCCATTCTGCCGGATTGGGAAATATTTTATGGTCTTGGCAAGTTATTTATAACTCGTTATACAATATGGCGCAGCACGAATTAGTTAAGTTGCACGCGCATATAGATACACAAATTGTTTCCAGGAAATACAACTTGATATTTGATGTAAAAGTAGCTTTTTGCATTTCACATACTGTCACACATGACGTTTGATGTCACAGAATAAATAATAAGCATAACGACGCTGTTTTTCGAAACTCCTGTTAAACGTTCGTCATTTCGCGTTTAGGCGAGGCTTATACGAAGCTGAATCAATTGCAAGAGGCCAAGAAGCATCTCAAACGATCAGCCGAATTAACGAAAAACGAACTGCCCAGTCTCGCTCTCGCGAAACTATGTTTTCTAGATGACATGATTCCTGAAGCTAGAAACGCTTATACGGCAGCTTTGAAGTGAGTAATATCGCCATTTTTCGTCCTTTCATGGCTTGAAATATATCCTAAAAAAAGACACCTCTGAGAGAGGCGTGTTTTTAACGGGCTGTTCGGAATTTTAGGTATGCTCGACTTTGATTTATCGGGGGTCTCTTATTTTACTGTGAACGCTTTATGCCATTCTTTTGACACGATTTTAATCTTGATTAATTTCGATCACTTTTCCTAACGCTCAGCGCGAATCCCGAGAGCATCGATGCAGCGACGGAATTGGGTCTTTTGTATCTAAAAATTGGAGACACGCAACGAGCATTTCAGCAATTCGGAGCAGCACTGGCTCATTCGTCAAATTGCGTCAATGCAATTCTACCTATGGCTTATATAATGCAGGTGCGTGAGTTGAATATTTCCAAAGACCATGCCATTCGCTTTTTGCGTACATAGTTCTCTCTCTCTCTCTCTCTCTCTCTCTCTCTCTCTCTCTCTCT